ATTTATTATTATTATTAAAAATATTACAGAATTGTAAATCAGCTTTGGTTGCCCTGAGGATTTTGTTGCTATCGTGAAGCGATTCCTAACGGATTTATTTAATCCTTTTCCAACGTGTACATTCATCAAAAAAAAAAAAACCAAAAACCACCCACCAAAAACTATAAACTGGTCCCATTAATTTTGCTGTGGAAAATATACTTTTTTTTTTTTTTTCTTTCGTTTTCTGCTTTTCTTCTCCTTGGACCTTTAGCACCAGGGAGGTTTCACTGGGGAGTTTTCAGCTGGAGTAATGTGTCCAGCTTTGCAGGGAATGTTAGAAAAAAAAAAAAAAAAAGGAATGTAAATGAGTGGAGGAGTCCTAGCAGAGGGAAAAATTACTGACACAGGTATGTTCTCCCATCCTGTAGACAGTTCTCTTGCTTTTCTTTTGGCGTATTTTTAATGTTATTATGTAAAAAACAATGACAGTCTATCCTAAAGCAGGTTACAAAATGAGCTTTTTCTAAAAATGATGGCAATCTTCCTCTCCCCCTGCCAAGTCTACCACCTGCAGAAGGGAGGAAATAAAATCCTAATGCACTGTGAAGGATTTCAGATTTTTGAGACATGCATGGCAGCAGCTACAGTGTCTCAGTTAAGGTTTGCTGTTTATGAGGGTTGCTTCTGTCCTGCTTCTGCCTTGAAGCCAGTAAGCTTACAGTGTAATTTGTAGGAGTAATTACCCAAATTCATGTATTGATACACTCAATTACAGTTTAGAACCATTCAGTGTTTTGGAAACTGGTATTTATGCTTCAGTTCCAACCTATGTATTTGGAAGTCAAAATTGAAATGAGTATCTCTGAGAAATTCAGGGGTTTAAGCTTTCTTGCCAGAAGCTGTTATCAACAAAGCCATGGTTTTAGTTAGCATTTTTTACTTATGATTTCACAAGAATAACTCGTGTTATTTTCATTTCTAATGCAGGAAATCAACTCAAGAAGATGAAGCCTAATAAAGGAAAGACCTGTACTAGGGAGAGAGACTATGTGTACAAATTCAGTGCTGGAAATCAACATTTAGTGCTTACCGTGCCTCTCAAATTCCCTGTGCAAGAGAATATTAGTCATTTGCATGGACGTCTAATGCTTCTGCACAATCTGCCATGCTTTATAGAAAGTGGTAAGAATTGATTTCTTAAACTAGTGTCATATATCCATGTCCACAAGTGTCCCACAACCTGCTTTGAGAAACCAAAAGAAGGGTATTTACTAGAGCAGTCTTAAATTTGTTTTTAAAACAGCAAAACATTAAAGAAAATTACTGTCAGTACTAGCAAGTAAGGTGTCTAAGTAAAAGTTTTTCAGAAAAACTTAATTTGTGTGTTTCCTAAATGATTACTGATACTTCCACGGACATGTTTTGTTGATGGACCATTCTCTTCTTGTTATAATAGACCTGAAGCAATCTCTTAATAAGTTCATAGAGGAGGAAACTATAAAAGATTATGATAGAGAAGCTGAAATGGCTCTGGAAGCAGTGAAATCAGGAAAAGTAGACATAAACCAGCTGGCAGATACTTGGGCTAAAGCTTATAAAGAGGTAAGATTAAGGCTGAAAAGTTAATATTCAGGACTTGCTTTGTGAGAGTGTGTGTGCATGTACAGACAGAATCACATCTGTGAAGATGCAAAATTACACCAAAATTCACTTTTACTGATCAATTCTTACAATTTTTTCTTTTTATCTGAAAGCGATCATTAAGTCTTCAGCCTACAAGTTATCAGTCGGGTTTTTCCTGAATTTAGTGGAGTCAAGAGATACAAAATTGAGAGGTAAATAGCTAGTGATATTCAAACAAAAATAGACAGAAGGGTTATAGTGCATTAGAATCAAAGCAAGAGATAGTAAAGTGGTACTCCCATCCTAGATCTCAATAATAGCAGTGAAGATTCCAAAGAGAAAGTGTATAGTTGGGAGAGCCATTTCAGCTCATTTTCTGGGTTCATGTGACTATTTTACATTATTTAGCAATGATGAGGTTGTAGCTGGAGTAATGTGTCCAGTTTTGCATGTGATCTTCAAAATAGAGGAATGCAGAAGAACTGGAGGAGTCTTAGTGAAGAGAAAAAAGTGACAGACACTGTGGCATTTGAGGAAAAGTTTATAGGAATTCAATTTGCTTATCATGGAATATAGAAGAATGCTATGAAAACATCCAAAACCTATGTCTGTTGTAAAGAGAATTGGAAGCAAATCATCCGCCTTTAATGAACGTCAACCAAATGAAATTAGCATAACCTTTACAAAGGAAAAATCTGAATTGGGTAAGCATGGGAATGTGATAAAACATTGAAAGAGTTTACAGTCTTCTGTGCTAGTGGTTTCTATGAATAGGTTAGCCTGAGTGCAGGGGTTAGGATTAGATAATTTCTTGACATTTCTAACCTACACTTCAATGATACAATCTCAATTCGTCAGCTGAATCTGTGGGGAATGATTGCAAATGTAAGGAGTGTTTCAGTATAAAGGAGCTTGCAAAACTGGCATCTTTGGGCCATTCTTTGTTCAGTAAAAACGGCTTTTCATAAATCAGTGTTGTTGATCAAATTCTAGTGACATCAGAGGTTAGTCATCCTTTCTAGCAGAAGTTTTTTGTTTGCACAGCTAGTGTTTTTGGCCCTATCTAAAATTCATCAGTTGCAAGTATTGTTGCACATTTTATTGTTCTTTTCAAGCTGGTGATGGCTGAAAATTGGTAATTCCTCACTGCAGTCAAAACCTTAATGTTTCTGCTGTTAGTTGCTTTGAAAGAGAAGGAGTATGAGAAGGGAGAAAATGTTAAGCCTAAACCAGAATACAGAAACCTCAAATTAGGAAAGATAATTAATGTATGTTGAAGGTTGTGCAACAGTGTGCATGCCCAGTTGGTTTTGCCCCACCATTATGAGGGATCCTTATATGTCCTAAAAGGTACCATATGCTTTACAATCTCTTATAATTTGTAGACAACGTTAGAATATGCAAAACCTGAAGAAACCAGCTGGGATGAAGATTTTGCAGATGTTTATCATGATCTGATACATTCTCCAGCTTCTGAAATGCTGTTAAACCTGGAACACAATTATTTTGTTAGTATCTCAGAATTAATAAGTGAAAGAGATGTGGAACTGAAAAAACTACGGGAAAGGTATTTCTTTTTTTTTTTCTATTTTATTAAATAGGAGTGCATGCCACTGGGTGTATACAATTCGTAGGACAACATGTGTCAACTTGCATGTGTCTATGTAAGCCCTATTTTAGTTTTATGTTTCCTTCTTTAAAGTCATATAAAACTTAGCCTATATTGTTAGGGTCAGCTATCTTATGTTCTCTTCAGTCACTGAAAATAACAAAAGGCCATCAAAGTAATATAAGGTTTGATTTCCATTGTTCTAGCCACGTGGTAAGCGGTATAGCAATGTAAAGTGCTTAGGATATCTAGAAAATAAAGTATATGTACGTACCATGTTTTGCCTTTGTTATGATGTAATTTAAATGAAAAATTGGAAGTTCCATGGGGTGAAAAGATGAGCAAAAGACTTGAACCAACTGAACTAATCAGAAACTGTTGCATTTGAAATTCAGGAAGGTCTATGTGGGATCCCAAGCAAGCTTGAGTAGCTGCAGGTGGCTGCTTTGCCCACAAGAGGGAACACATACAACGCAGAGTTTTCTTTTTCTTTTCGAGACTAAATAGGTTAAGGAAGATGAATGCATACAAATACAGATATAGTATAGATGCTGAATATTAGGCAAGCTTGTGAGATGCCAGAATATTCTAAGTAGGTGTGTTTTAGCATTCTAAGTGGCAATATTCCTCTTGAGTTGTGTTTGTTTAAGCTCACAGTATACAATGAATATCTGTTTATATAGTTTCTTCTAGACAGAATCTTACATATCTCTAATTTGGGGATAAATGTTGCCAGTAATGTGTTAGCAAAACTTTTTGCTGCTTATTGACTCTTCTCAAGAATGCATCTAGAAGAAAGACCACTAATCCCAAGAGCAGTAATGTTGTAGAGCTCTAGAGTGATATAGCTGTGTATTGACTCTGGTGGAATTTACCATATCTATTTGTCATAGTCAAGAAACTCTGTATGTCAGTGGCAGCTGAGATTATCCCAGATGAGCGTAGGTGTTGTTCTGTTTACACAGGAGCTGACTTGGAATCCCTGACCCTCAACTCAAATTTGTTTTGTGCATATTCATTGCTAAATTTGTGCTAGGGTAAATTGATTCCTTGCTGAAGAAGGGGCTGAACGTGAAAGACTAAGTGAAGCTGGGGATTAAGAAGACTAAGGAGGGATGAGGTATTGGATGAACTGATGATAGATAGCAGGGCAGCCCTTTAACTCCAGGTCCCCTTGTTGAATGTACTTTGAGCTGGAAGCTCATCTGACTATTAAAAATATGTGTGTTGGTGTTTACCTGTCTGCATCGTCTGTGGTTGGGGTGGGAGGAAAGCAAGGGACTGAGTAGGTCCATTTCAAAAACTCTTCTAATGATATAGATAGTGAAGTGCTGTATTAGAGTATCTGGACATACTGTTGTACCTTCTTTTGAATATCTATGAGTGCAGACTTTAATGAATTCCAATTCCAAAACGAGCAGATGGACAAAGTACTGCATGCCTTATCTTTCAGCTATGTGGTCAGTTTTATCTCTGCTTGTGATGAGCATTGATCATCTGACTGATAGAGCTGATCATTGTATCAGTAACTATATGAACGCCAATGGGCGTTCTTCTGCCAGTTTTTTGAAAGTGTTGCTTGTTGTAAATCTACATTTGCTTCTTTTTCAGACAAGGAGCTGAAATGGATAAGGTGATGCAGGAGCTAGGGAAATCGCTAACAGACCAAGATGTAAATTCATTAGCGGCTCAGCATTTTGAATCTCAGCAGGTAAACTAAGTCTCAGCAGGTGAACTAGAATACATCATGCAATTAATTGTCTTAAAAAGAAAATCCAAACCACTCAAATTATCACTGTTGTCTTGTTAGGATTTGGAGAACAAGTGGACCAATGAATTAAAACAGTCTACCGCTATCCAGAAGCAGGAATATCAGGAATGGGTGATAAAACTTCATCAGGACTTAAAGAATCCCAACAACAGCTCAGTCAGGTATTTAATTCCTCTGTGATGCTTACTTCCATCTGTAATAGTTTGAAGGACCTGCTTTTATGTAATCTTTATTTTAGATTAGCCATTTAAATAGGAAAATCAAAGCAAATCAATGGCAAATAAACCATCATAATTAAATACTTTGTATTTTTAGGAGTTTCTTCATTGTATAATGTTATAACGTTTCTGTACCAGAAGGTGTTCTAATGTGCTGAACTACAACTTGAGCTGAATGGGGTTTCCTTCTATTTTGCCTTTATTTACAATGTCTGTCTTTAACACTATTGCACAAGGGTTTCTGTTACCACTTAAGTAGATTTAGGTGGATGCAGTAAGGAATTTATGGGAAGCACAACACCTTTGAACAAAGTGGATGCCAGTGATAAGAAGAGTCAGGCATGGATCATAATGTGTGAAATACTTCATCCCTTTCTCTTAAGTGTTTCCTTTTGGGATAAGGAAGCCGAGTGTATGGAACATGAAGGGAGAGAGAGAGGAGGGGAAATATGTTGGAAGGTGATGCTGTATGTTTAGATTTCTCACTGCTTTCCTCAGGATATTGTTGTTTGTGAACTTATGTTTTGGAAGTCTTTTGCAGTTCTCAGGTTAGTCCCAGAATTTCCTAGGATTGCGTAGCTCGCAAGCAAGCTGACCTCTTTCTAACCTAGTGACCAGGTAAAACACTGCAGTAGTGACAGTCTTGCCAAGCTCTAAGCCCAATCCTAAAATATTTTTCCACAGAATTTTCATGTTAGTTTTGTTATTTATTTCCATGAGGCTTTAAAGATAATGAAATTACAAAGGCTATTGATACTTACCACTGTGAACCTCTTTGCATGTTCTGGCCTTCTATTGCTGTAAAACAAGGCCAAGGTGAAGTTGCTTAGAACTGAAAGCTAGAAGAAATGGAATGCTAGAAGTCCAGAGGCAAGGACCTCTGAGAGAAAATGAGGATGTTTTGGCTTCATAATCTTGGATCCTTATAACAGATGTGAAGTGATAGTATTTGAATCACTGCACTCTCATACGCTAGCAGAAAGTGTGATCTTTCTGCTTGTGCTGAGTCCTGAAAACTATAGGTGCCTAATGCATTTGAAAGTAATGCACAGGAAGTCTATAGTAGGGCAACTAGAAGCGCTGAGAGAGAGAGAGATAAAAGTGTGTGTGTGTTGCATATATAGACATAAAATATCTATATACACACACGCACATATATATCTCTCTTTATGCATCTAGTTGCTTATGTGTGTGTGTATATATATTTATTAATGGTATCTCTCAGTTCTACCTCATCACTAGGCATTTGCAGTTAGTGGAATTGCTTATAAGTTTATAAAACACCTTTGAAAATTAGGCACTTTGAAAACAAAGAGAAACTTTCCATTAATGCAGAAGCAAATTGGGGAGATGTTAATGTTCTTTCATGTATCAGAAACAGTATTTATTGTATCACTTACTACCACACAGTTGAATTTAGGAAAAAAAATTAAAACTGATATCCGCAATATTTCCTGCTAGTTTGAACACTGTGGAGCAGTTGATTTGGCTTTTTAACCTCCCATTTTGTGTAGGGAAGAAAGAAATGTTTTATGTAGTAACTTCATAAATAAGGTTTTGGCTATTATAAATAGGCTGAGAAGAATTTTTTTTTTTTTCCCCTCCCCCTTTTATTCCTATGTTCTTACTATGTTATAACCAGGTATTGTGGTTTATTTTTATTTCTCAGTCTCAGAAAGCTTTATGAATGAGCTAGGTAATGTAAATCTAACAGTGGAGTATACTCTTCCTGCTGGTATGCACCTGGGGTATTGCATGCTGGAAAGGTAAAACCTCAGATGAGTGGAGTTCATGCAAATAAGTTTAGTCTCTTGGTTTCCACAGACTAGCTGAGAAAACTTGGGATAGCTTTCAGAAAATATTGTTGGTCTTGAACAAAAATTAGGATAAACTTTTCAGTACGTTTCTCATTATTTTAGTGATGAAATTAAGGTTCAGCCCAGTCAACTGAGAGAATCTGTAGAAGGAAATGGAAGAATTTATGAAGAGCAAAGGCTGTTAGAAGAAAGTTTTACTATTCACTTGGGTAAGTAAACTAAACTGACACCAAAACCAAACATAGTAACAGATGGTAATAAATAATGTATCTAAGCCATGTATTATTTACAGTATTTGTCAATGTATATAATATATACAGTTTGTAATTGTTTTGTATTTGTTCTTTACATATGTAAAAGAAGTACAGTACAGTATAAACTGTATCAAACTGTATCTAGCCACCTGAAATGTAATTAATGGAAGACGTTCTAGAAGCAAGTTTTTATCCGCTCTAGCAAGGTGACTAGTGTAGAAAAGCACACAAACATCAAAACATGTAGTGGTTAAAAATTCTATTATAACTTTTATTATGTTTGGTAAGAAAATGTGGGTATTAAATTCAATTCCCACGATAAATTAACAGAAAAATAGATGCTTAAAATTTTAACTTTTTGTTTATGCGATAGAGACTTCTTACACTGTCTGTTTTGACTGCATTAGTATTTCATCCATAGCCTTGTAATAGGGAGCAAGGCTCATTTCAGGTATAGATAAGCCTTGCTCTGTGACAGTATGTGAAAATATTGCATTTTTACTCTTATTTTGTAAATTGCTGATATGTATGTAAAACTGAATATATGGTTAAGAACTTTATTTGAGTGCTATTGATTGTATTTCCTTTTGTCCTGGTTTTAGCTGGGATAGAGTTAAATTTCTTCCTAGTAGCTGGCATAGTGCAGTGTTTCGGACTTAGTATGAGAATGATGCTGATAACACACTGATGTTTTAGCTGTTGCTAAGTAGTACTTACGCTAGTCAAGGACTCTTCAACTTCCCATACTCTGCTGGGTGCACAAGAAGCTGGGAGGGGGCACAGCCATGATAATTGATCCAAACTGACCAAAGGGCTATTCCATACCATATGACATCATGCTCAGTACATAAACTGGGGGGAGTTGGCCCCGGGGGGCAGCGATCGCTGCTCCGGAACGGGCTGGGCGTTGGTCAGCAGGTGGTGAGCAGTTGCATCACCTGGGTTTTTTTCCCCTGGGTTTTGTTTCTCTCTCTTGTAGTTCTCCTTTTCATTACAATTTTTATTACTACTACTGTTTTTATTATTATTATTATTATTTATATTATT